ATTGCATTATTATGTTTATTTTAATATTTACGGCTATTTTCATATTAATTTTCTTGAGAATTAAAAAGATTACTAACTGACACTACATACTGATTTGGTCTCGTACCTTCCTTTGATTGCACCATGTTATAATGTCTTCAGTTGGGTATTTTTACCGCTTGGGAGTCTCCCCCCTCCACTTTCTGGCTTGGGATGACCTTGAGGCCGAAGGCCGATGACGTTGGTGTATGGATGACCTTGAGGCTGAAAGCCGAAAGTGACGTAGGTTNCGTATCAGATAGTTTGGTATATTTGGTTGTCATAGTAATGACTTTATAACTTATTTATTCGTCTCTATGGTAAAACAACATCTATGGCTATCACGACAATATGGCCATTTAAGGAGAAGTGGGGGTTCAATTTCAGAGTAACATTTCTTTTTACATTAATCAATCACGTCAAATTTGTCATAAGCGAATGGTTTTATTCTTCTATAGAAGTATTTAGATTTTAATTGACCAAGGTATAAGCAAGAATATTTTATTTAAGATAGTTTATTTACATGTTTTTTTGCTAAAGTCCATATTTTTTTAATCGACATAGATATTTGAAATAATTTTATATTTTTTTTAACTTTTAGTCTACAAAGTGCAAAAAATAGCATATAGGTACAGGGTGACATGGAACAAAGTGCAATGCATAGCACCACATGATAGAGCACCTCAAAACATATAAAAAGTTCCTCTACACTTATGTCTAAATTCTTTCTGTTTTCGAGATACAGGGTGTTAAAAATTTTTTGGAAAATATTGATTTTTTTTATTACTTCCGATTAAGTGGAGGGACTGTAGTGGCAAGTGGTACATAATATCCTCTACAGGTTGCCAACCAGTGGTAGAGTTGAAAAATTGAGACGAAATTTTAATAGGAATTATATTACCTATCGCAAAATGTTAAATTAGTAATTTTTACAAGGCCGTATTAATTTATTAATTTGATTTAAGCATAGTGAACCCTCTACCTCCACCATTGGTTGGCAACCTGTAAAGAACATTATGTACCAATTGTCAGTAGATTCCCTCCACTTAATTGGGAGTAATAAAAAAATCAATATTTTCCAAAATTTCTTTAACACTCTGTATTTCGAAAACAAAAGAAATTTAGACATAAGTGTATATGAACTTTTTATATGTTTCGAGGTCCTCTATCATGTGGTGCTATGCATTGCACTTTTTTCTGTCACCCTGTATATGATGGGACTAAAGTGATTTAATCCCTTGAGTAGTTGCTCTGTACTGTTCTACTCGCAGGATTAAATTATGCCCCTACAAAAATCAATAAAATTATAGATGACAGAATTAGCTCACCAGTTTATTTATTATTATCAATAAAAACATAACATTTTAACAATCAGTTTTTGAGAAATCTTCAACTAACAATTAATTTAATAGTTTTAAATCTTTTAACGTTTAAATTTAAAGTCAAAATTGTACAATTGCGGAAAGTAAATTGTAGATTTGCCATGCCAAATAAATTAATTGCACATGTCAAATATGTTCTCTATACATTTTTAGTAATTTTTTAACTGTAGGATACAGTTTTAGAAGAAAATGTCGTTTGATACTAGATTACGAAATTCTTTTGCATTCTCGAATGATATTCTCGAATGCAATATTTCGCAATCTAGTATGAAAAATAACTATTTCCAGTTCCAAAGTTTTCCTCTCAATGTTTTTTAATAGCCATGTAATATACGGAACAACATATTAATTCAGTTTGTCTAAAGAA